ACACACACACACACACACACACACACACACACACACACACACACACAAAGGGACTCAAATCCTGAAGCTGTCTCTATCATAAGCCCTTGGTTGGTGGGTATCATCAGTCTAAGATGCTGCCTTTGAAAAATAAAATATGAGATAAGAAGGAAATTTGTCTTTGCTGGACCATTGTATTTTTGTTTAGAGCCAAATACCAGAAACTTACATGTGTTTAAATTGGAAGTATACCATGGTGAGAACAGTTTAGTAATAATGTAGTATTTTTTAAATTTAAGGGGTGCATTTTTTTGCCTTTTCATCTTTGCATAACCTGCAGTTCTGGGTGATTTTACACGAACATTGGGAGACCAATCAAGAGTTAATTACCCTCTCCTCACTATATATCCACTCAGTATATGCATCTATACATGTGTCCAGGTGTGGGTACATGTTCACGTGCAGGTGTGTACAGCAGTGCATGCTCATGCGAAGGCCACAAGTCCACAGCGGATGTGTTTTCCACCTTATCTTTTTAACCGTTATTAAGTGTTGACAATAGCACACGTGTATAAAATGCACTCTGACCACATTTGCCCTCCACTGATTTCTCAACCTCCCTGTGCTTCTGCTGATCCACTATGTTTACACAAACAGTCCCCCTCCTTTGCTCACATCATAGCAAGAGGGCACCCGAGATATGTGTGCCCGTGGGAGAAGTCTAAAGGGAGAGGATAGGAAAACACTCCTAATGTGAAAGTAGAAAGGGGGATACTGACGAAGAAGAGGTTGAAAGGTAGACAGAAATGAAGAGCAGAGGAAGAATAAGAATGTGAGCGAGGCCAACCAAAACTAAAGATAGATGAAAAACCCAAATGGAAACGACTGTATAAATGAAGTCTTCCTGAGTGAGCTGGAATCTCAAAGTAAGTTTAATTTGTTTTTCCATGGTGGCAAAGGGCGGTGGGCACTTTAACAATGTTCAGTAGCTGCTTTTACTTCTGTTGAGAACTCTTTGTTCGGTACCATAGACTATTTCTTTTGAGGTATTTATTTGTTTTCTTGATGTTTGGGCTTTGGTTTTTTTGTATATTCTCTGTCAGACAAAGAGCTAGTAAAGACTTTTTTCCATCTGGTAGACTGCCTCATCATGAAGTTGACTATTCCCTTTGCTATACCAACCCCCTTTAATTTCATAATGCACCACTTTGTCAATTGTTGGCCGTATTTCCTGAACAACCAGAATTCTATTCCAAAAGTCTTTATGTCTACCTATGACTGTGGCATACTTCCTGCTTTTGTCTTTAGCAGTTTCAGAATTAAAAACTTAAAAATCCACACAGAAACACAAAAGATTCCCAAGTGGAAAAAGCATTCCTGAGTAAGAGGAACATTGCCTAAGACAGAACCATATATGTTATACAAATTATGCTACAGAGACATAGTCATAAAATCAACATGGCACAGAACAAAAAAACAGACTTAAAGATCAATGGAATGGAAAAGAAGACTCAGAGTAAGTCTATGTAACTATAGACACCTGTTTTTTTTTTCTGTTTTTAAAAATTCAAAAAATACACATTAGAGAAAGAGTGGTGTCATCAGCAAATGGTCAAGAGGAAGTTGGATAGCTACATGTGAAAAAATGAACTAATCAACACCTCTCACCCTCCACAAAATGTCGCTCTGTAACATGGCTGTGGCTTCAGATCTGGTGTAGTAACCTATCATTTTTCTTCTTGCTCAGGATAGGATTGCCTGACCCGGGTCTTTTGTACTTCCATAATATGAATTTTAGAATTTAGGATTTAAGATACTGTTTACTATTTCTGTGAAGAATGTGATAAAATTTTTGAGTAGGATTGCATTGAATCTATAAATTACATTTGCTTGTGGTCATTTTCATAGTATTAATTCTTTAAATCTGTTGAGCATGCTTTCATCTTCTAGTGTCCTCCTCAATTCATTGTAGTCTGTCAGCAAGCTTTGTTAGATTTAGACATATATACCTATTTTAGACTATGGTAAATGGAATTGTTTACCTGATTTGTTTCTCAGTGTGTTTGACATTTGTACATAGAAAGGCTGCTCACTTTTATATGTTAAGTTTGTGGCCTGTCAGGGATAGGAGTTATCTCTCCATCTTAGTTTTTGAATCTCACACTGAGCTTGGGATTTCCATTTTAGCCCTTGGGATCCATCTTCTCCTACTCCGAGCTCTCGGATTACAGGGGAGCATCATTATTACCCAGCTATTATATGGATCTTAGGGATTCAAACTCAAGTCCTCATGATTGTTCAGTTAGTACATTACATATGGGTCATCTCCAGAGTCCCCAGTTTTTTGGGTGGTGTTGGGGATAATTCAGGCTCCTACACACTAAGGAAGCGAGAGCTATGTCCTAGTTCTTTACTGTACATTTCCCTTATGACCTCCAGCAAAATCAGAAATAGTCACCAGGAAACCCTAATTTACCGAAGGCAAAAAAAAGCCTAATTAACCCACCCATCTCTTCCCCATGGAGGACAGCTAGAAGAAATGCTGCATGAAGAAATCACATGGAAGATAATGTCCAAATGTCTTTAGAGTGAAAGCGATGATCTTCTGAAATATACTTTTACATGAATACTAATTGGGTGGATTATATCCATCATTTCTATGGTTTTCCTTCAATAGATTCTTCCCTACCTCAGAAAACGAACTCTGAAAAGTAATCTACAGTACCACATGGAATTAAACTGTGGTAAGAGTGTAACATGCAGCCAATTATATAATAACTTGATGCAAGGGCATGTTCCGTGAAGTCATGATCCACATAGTTTATTTATTTTTAAATCAGCCTGAACCCTAGGCATGTAAGGAAAGTGCCTTAAACAAAACTAAATAATGATAAATGAATCCAAAGAATATGTTCGCTTAAAATGATTTAAATTCAATGTACTGAATAACTTCAACCTCAACATTTCAAAATTTAGCTTCTTTGTAATTGGTCCAAATTCCCTAAGGTTTTAAGTATATTTTAATTACTCTGTGATGAATTTGATTACTTGAGATTAAAGATCCAGATTCGTAACCTTGTTGTAATACGTTTCAATGATCTGGGCTCTACACATCACATAAAAATGAAAGAATAAGGAAACTGAGCAAACACACTATTACAGAAGAATAAACTGGGACAGGCTCACCAGAAAATGTTAAAATATTTTGCTGGATTTGGGTTTTGTAAGAATTCTTAAATATGTTTGGCCTAACACATTTCCCTTTAATTCCCTTAATACGCCCTGAGGATTTCCACAGAAATGTGAACCATATGTTTCAGATTCATTTATACTTAACTCATCAACATGTTTGGGGCGAATAATGTGAAGCACAAAAGCTTCATGAACACTTTTTGTGGGCTCTTTAGTTGGTAAACAACTGGAACGTGAACCCAGAAATCCTGAGTCTTCGTTTAATACTCAAATCCCATCAAGAGCAAGAAAGCTCTTAGCCAGGTTGGGCACACTTTGCCCTTGGCCATGCCTTGCTCCAGATCTCGCAGCTGGGAGGAATTGTTTTGATAGTTTACTCTGCTCTTGCCACTTTCGTTTTAGAGACCGTAAGTAAGTCTTTGATGGCACAGTGCTTGTAGGCTCCCAGATCAATGACACCCCATCAGCTCTGTTTGTTTTTGTACTCTGAAATAAAAGCTGCACCTGCTGTGAGCTTGCTCAGCAATGAAGGGAATTAAGCAAATCAGTTTGGAAATCTTGTTCACGCCCTACCCACTACAGTCTGTTTGTGTGTGCAGAGAGAAGACAGAGACAAAAATTACTACCTGGCTTTCTCTGGTGTCTGTTCGAATGAGTAGAAAATTATTTAATGGCTGTTTTTACAGGCTGATTATCCTCATCTGACTCCACATCTTTGATATAGCGTGGGACTGATCTACTTCCTTTCTCTGTCAGCTTAGTGGAACATGTGCTAAGATCCAGGTCTGGGCGTTTAATGGCCTGACAAGATGAACACCGGTTGTTTGTTCTCTGCTGTCTATCATTTTGCAAAGCTTTACTCTCCTCATTAAGATGGCTGGCACCTCAGTGTTTGGGCAATTAACACTCATTCCTGTTTCTGTATCTTCCTCATGGGTTGTAGATCTCAGTTTCCCTCTGGTTTGTATTGACAAAGACCCCTGTACTCTGTGAACACTAAGGATAATCTGCTTAGACTGGCATCTGCTTTGTTCTCTGTCCAGCCCCACTACCTGCTCCATGATCAAACTTTAATCCCTCACTGTTGCTTCTGAAAAAACCTTTGGAAACAAGATCTGGAGTCTGAAAGCATTCCTTTCCTTCTGCTTTCCACTGCAAATCAGAGGTAAAAATCTTCTGGTTTAGCTCTATATGTAATTTCTGTAAAGGAAATGTAAAAACAGAGGATTACCAGACTGAATGAGAATAATCCAAAGGAAACACTATAAGAGGGAGACATTCTCTTTCATCAACTCTCCCAGGGATTAAAGAAAGATGAACCAGCTATGCAGAGAAGAAAGAGTGAAAACATCACTTTTCAATCCAGAGCATAAAATCTACTTTTTGAGTTTCACGAATGAAGGTCTCAATTGATCATTTCTTTGTATCAAAATAGAGTGGAAATTTTAAGGGGCTAAAGGGGCTATGTGTGTGATTCCAGTGAAGGAAACTGCAGGAATGGGGCCTGAGTACCTCATTTAGTAAACATTCCTGGCCCAAGGTGTTGCGGAAAATAAGGCACCAGGGATAGAAGTATATTGCCTTCCACTTATAATCATTAAGGACTTTTATTTCCCTGTCTCCACAAATCATTCCTATTAAAATAAGATTCTGTGAGGCCCCACTCCAAAGTGGGGAGAGGAGAGTTTAAACAAGTTGGTAAGTTACTGTTTTTAGCTGTGTCTCAAAAATAAATTATTTTAAAGATATATTGTATAATACGATTAAAATATTTCACTGTGCAGGTAGACATTTTACACATAACACACAATAGTGGAAGGACGGTGTCAGAAACCTTTTGGTTGTTATCTGTTTCGCTTTAGGATCAGAGCATGTTCACAGCCCACCCCCAGGCCTGTCAAAAGTGTCCTAGACTTGTCACCATGGAGGTGGGACCAGACCTCTCACCACTCTAGCTCAGCTGCTTCCTGTTGCAGAAACTTAATTTGGTCTCTGATTCTCTTTCTTTTTTCTTTTATTGAAGTTCTGGGAACTAAGCCCAGGGCTTTGTGTATACTGGGCAGGCACTATACCCCTAAGCTGTATGTCCAGATCTACTTTTTGATATCAAGGTCAAAATAGACCTTGCCTGAAGGCCACCACAAGAATGCCAGGTAGATTCTTATGCGTGCTCATTAATAATTGCAATTTCAGGGCTAAGAAGTTATCCTAGCTATAAAGTAGCTTCCATGCAAGCGTGCAAACCCAACTTCAATGCCTTGAAACTGTGTGAAAGGGCTAAGTATGGTTAGAGGACACTGGGTTCCTAGAGTAAGTGGCCAGCCAGCTTAGAAAGCCTTCATGGAGAGTTCCAGGTCAATGAGAGATCCTGCCTCAGTAAACAACATTCTCATGAGAAATGAAAGCTGAAGTGGAACTTGGGCCACAAAACACAGGTCGACCTGGACAAATACAAGCCTACACACACACACACACATACACAGACACACACACACACATGCACACACACACACACACATGTGTATGCATATGCCCACTGCATTCATCCATAGACACACATAGAAATATGCATACATACAGACACACACATACTCATATGCACAATGTACATATATACATACATATTCTCAATATGTGCACAAATGAGCACACATACTCATGCCCACTTACATACAGATATATACATATGAACATACACAAACATACACCAAACCTCACATAATGGCCCTTACACACATATGAATATACAGAGATGTTATGTGCACACACACACATAAAGAAAGAAATTTTACTTCTGCAGTGATGATACTTGTACAGGTCATGAGGATGAAGAAAAATAGCAATAGAAATCTTATTCTAGTTCTGCTTTTTTTTCTTTTAGGATTTTTCTTTTTTTGTGTTATATTTTCATATATATGTATGTGTCTGTGTGTGTGCATGTAGGTAGAGCTTCCTTCAGAGGCCAGAAGAGGGCATCAGAGAACCTGGAGTTACTGGTGGCTTTGAGCTGCCTCACTTGGGTCTAGGAAACTAAGGTTCCTTCAGCCCTCTGCAATTGCAAGCGATGCTTAACTGCTGAGTTGCAGCTCTTCAGTGAGACCCCAGGAACAGCAACCATTTTACTGTGAAGGACAAGGATGCAGGTTCCAGACATCTCGGGATTATCCGGGTTAGTGATATTTGGGGGAAAATATTGAATTCAATAAGGAAAGGAAGAGCTCTAATGTAATGAATTGGATGCAAACATAACCTGAGCTGTAGAAAATGAAGTAAAAAATAGTCCTGCCTGTCCCTCCCCCAGTCCTGGGATTACAAGCAGATGACCACGCTGGCTTTGTAAGTGTTCTGGGATTCTAACTCGGGTCTTCTTGTTTGCAGGGCCAGCGCTTTATTGATGGAGCTATCTTCCCAGTCCCTTAAGGTATATTTCTGATAATAGCATACTTTTTCTTAAGTTATTTTTGGCCATATCCACCATAAATTCAGCATGCTGGTTCTTAAATCCACACAACTAATCAAATTCTGGACCCTAATACCATCACTTAGTTCAAAGAGTAGAGTGTCATTCATTTTCAGAAAATTAGGAGATATTTGTGTCTTTTTCAGTGTTTGGGTGTTTTGATAAAGAGAGGCAGCATTTGATTCCTTTTAGGTACTTTAATGTTGAAGTAGAATTTATCACAGTCTCCAAACACATACAAAGACAGAAATGAGGAAGTGAGTCAGTAGCAAAGCTGAGCAGTAGCTAACCCAAATCTAGATATCCCTTTTCAGAAAGGGTTCTGCACATTGTTTGTGTCACCCACGGATTTTCATTGTTGTTCAATAGAAACTGTCTGGACTCATTCAAATCCTTAAAATCTTTCATATGCCATTATTAAGTATACAGAGAGATCCATGAGACTAAAACTTGCCCTTTGCTTCTGAATTCTGTTTAGAATACTGTTTGTATCCTCAACTCCACATATTTATGGAAATTTGATAGTAGAAGCTTTTCAATAGCAGTGGGCAATTACAAATAACAACTAATATTAGCTGCCATCTATAGATTTACAATGATGTAGTTTATTTAACATTCCTACTAATCCTTATATTTTAGGTACTATTATTTGGTCCATTTTATAGGTAAGGAAACTGAAGCTTAAGAAGGGTAATTAGTTCGCTCATGGCTACGCAATTAGTAAGTGGAAGGGCCAAGATTAAAATCTGAGCAATGTGGTTCTATGTCCAGATGGTGAAGAAGCTAACCTGCCTGCAGAGAAATGACAGAGAACGAGGTTCTGGGTTTGGAGAGAAAGTTCTGTGCTTAAAGAGCTTGCTGTGCAAGCAGTAAGTGAAACTGGAGTTAGGTCTACAGGAAAGTGTGGTGTCCACACACTGGCAAATCCTGGCACACTGGAAAAGCGGGAGTAAGGAGCCCTGCAGCAAACCTTTCATCTAGACAAGCCATATCAATCATCTCTGAAGGTTCACCTGAGAGACCTCAGTGATTAAGGTGGAGAGAAATCAAGGAAGATGCTTGACGCTGGCGTTGGATCTCCACAGGCACACACTCAGACCTGCAAAACACACACACACACACACACACACACACACACAGACCATGTACATAGACATGATAAAAAAATAAAAGGAAGCTCCCTGGCAAGTCAAAGGAGAAAATGATTATGATGCTAACATTAAAAAAGAAAAAGATTTCTGAGAAATGAATGACATACTTTTCCTGAACATCCACTGCTCACCGGTGCTCAACTCTACTCTGTAATCATAACGGTGCCTCTCAGAGCTAGCATCCCTGGTAAATCTAAGCACAAACTGTCACTCAGGAAATTTGATGTTTCAGTGTAAGTCAACAGAATTTGAAGTGCTCTGGGATTTGAATTTGAAGATTCATGAGGCAAATTGAGAATTTCATGTGCAATCTAGAAGAAAAATTATAATTTGTGAGAAATGTCAACTGTCTTCACCTTCACTATGGTCAACTGGAGTCTCAGAACTAGGAATGCTGGAAACAACCCAGATGTCCATCAACGGAGGAATGGATACAGAAATTGTGGTACTTTTACACAATGGAATACTACTCAGCAATTAAAAACAAGGAAATCATGAATTTTGCAGGCAAATGGTGGGATCTAGAAAAAAAAAATCATCCTGAGTGAGGTATCCCAAAAGCAGAAAGACATACATGGTATATACTCACTTATATAGCCCTATAAGATAGGATAAACATACTAAAATATGTACAACTAAAGAAGATAAACAAGAAAGAGGTCCAGGGGTAAAATAATCAATACTCATCTAGAAAGACAAAGGGGATGGACATTAGAAATAGGAGAAAACAAGTGGCAGGACATTAGCCTACCACAGAGGGCACCTGAAAGACTCTACCTAGCAATGTATCAAGGCGTTGCTGAGACCCATAACCAAGCCTTCTGCAGAGTGTAGCGAATCATATGAAGGAAGGAGGAATTAGTATATCCTAGAGGGGACAGGGAGCCCCACAAGGTCCAAATATATCTGTGCACAGGGGTCTTCTATGAGACTGTCTATCCAACCAAGGACTATGCATGGATATAACCTACAACCCCTGCTCACACGTGTCCCATGGTAGCTCAGTATCCAAGAAGGTTCCCTAATGAGGGGGACAGGGACTGTTTCTGACATGAACTCATGAACTTCCCCTCCCTTCTGAAGGAGAAGCAGCCTTGCTACACCACAGATAAGGACATTGCAGCCATCATGGGGATACCTGATAAGCTAGGGCCAGACTGAAGGAGAGGAGGACACCCCCTCTCAGTGGACTCAGAAGGGGGCAGGGAGGAGATGAGGGAGAGAGGAAAAGAGGGAGGGGGCTACAGCTGGGATACAGGTGAATGTATAAAATTATTTAAAAATAAAAAATATTAAAAAAAAAAGAACTAGGAATGTCTTATACATCTGAATGTAGAATCAGGTTATGTGAGAGTTATCAAAAGTCAAGGAAAACGAAAATCGTGCTCCATACTGTGTCATCCTGGGGAGCCCGAAGGCAGAATTTTGAGATATCTTAGACAATGGAGCAACTCACTCTCTGGGGCTTGGGCTAGAAAGGTGGCCAGACACAGCTGGCTTACCAGGATCTCCACTAAGAGGTGCTTTCCTTCCTCTTCTTGGAACAAGGACTGAGATCCATTCACTCATTTTTCTCACATCAGAGTCTACTCTGTCTCTTGGAATTCCATCTGCCAGAGATAGTCCATTTGAGATGCTGTTGAGGTATTGTGGAGCTTTTGAGAAGTATGGCCTCAGTAGAAGTCTGTAGATGAGTGGCTAAGAAGCCTTCGGAGGACAAGGGGGATCCAGTACCTTCCTATTGCAATTTTATCCTTTATTGTGCTTTGGTTGCTTTGCTTTCAGTTGAGATGCTTCATTACATCTCCCAAAAAAAATAAGCCAACAAACCATGGGCTGAAACCTCTAAAACCATGAGCCAAACTAAATCTCTTTCTCAAAATAGTGAACTGAGACTTTTGTAATAGTGACAGAAACCCAACTTACATAATAGCCATAGTGGGGACATGTAATTATCACTACACAGGACATGCCACAGGTGTTTCACAATCTGCTTGGTCTCAGTGAGACCTGAGGAGTTCCTGTCTGCGTGACCAAGAGAATGGAGCAGTTGAGAAGAGAGTTTGGAGCCAGTGTGAATGCCATGGAGCACATACTTCACATCTTCTCACATTCTGGATGCCTGTTTCATGCCATGCAGCAGGCTAATCCCTGAGGATTAGGGCCAGGAAGACATGTGGAAGGAGTGTGCAATTGGGCAAGAGGAAAGGGGACAAAGCAGATCCTAGCCAGGAGATCTGACGATTACTCAGGGAAGGTTATAAAATACATCACTGTTCTAAGGGACAAACTGAGTCCTGACAAATCTTCAAGGCAAGCTTTAACCAAGTCTCTTTCCCCCAACTAGATAGGATGAATTGTTTTCCAAAATAAATCTGCAAAATGAAATTGACAAAAGTGAAAGGTCTTTGAGAAAAATATGAACTAAAATCAGGTTCTCAAGATGAATATTTCAGCACAACTCAGCATATATTTAAAATGAAATGTAAAGTATTCCTATCAAGAAGGTTCAAAGCTCTCCAAGCAAAATTGTTTGACCTGTTTGGCAGTAAAATAAATACAATGTGTGGTCTGTTTCAGGCCCCTGTCCAAGTCCAATCACATTACATTTTCATAGTCTCAACATTTAAAAGCTCCATCACTGTTGTGTCAACAATGGCATATGGGAACATCTCCCAAACACATGGCAACCAGCACATTATGCAAACACGTTTGCTCCATGAGCCAGAATCGGCTGATTTCCAGAAAATAAAATCTTACCAAGTGACAGGAGGATTTGTGTGCTACATCTCAGAACCTCTTCATTTGAAACACAGCACGTGAGCTTCAAGAGTTCAGATCCACTCCATGAACTGTCAGTTGACTTTCCAAAATCACGAACATCTTTTTTCAGTTCAAATCAGGGAGCAGAGGCTAAAATGCCAGTTCTCTGGCTCTGAACCCAGTTTGCTCTCCATTGCACAGCATGGTTAGCTTAATTTTTCATACTGCTTTAGTCTGAGATACAATTAGTATGTACCCACCAATGGTTTCCCCTTTTCATTATTAAATAAAACAAGTAATATATGACAGAAAGCTCAAACTTGAGTCCACAGGCTGGCTGCCATGGGTTTAAATTAATTGCTTAATTTTCCTAAACTGGTTTTATAGCCTAGAACCATGAAGAATAAATTGAAGATGGTTTCAAAGACAGAATGAAGAGGACTACAAATAATAAACACTATACAAATATATTAGTATGTTAATAAGAATCATTTTTCCTGACTGGGATTAAGAATCGGTGGGGAGCGGTACTTGTTGCCAAGGCTAATGACCTGAATTCTTTCTGTGGGACCCAGGTGGTTGAAGGAAAAGAACCAAGTCCTATGGGTTGTCTTCTGCCCTCCACAGTGTACTGTGATAAGTTTGCGTGTGAGCATGCATGCACACACACAGAAACAAATAAAAAGTTGAGAGAAGCATATTCAACCAAATTGCCTTGGGAAGAATAGGAGTAATAAAGTGTGCAGCTTGGTCATGACCACTGAACCAGTGATCAGCAAGACCTTCCCTGTTTTCTGGTTCAGTGACTTCCTAGGCAGAGCCTGGAAGCAAACAGATGTTCACAAAATACTTGCTCCACTAAGGAAGCCACAGGAAACTTGAACTGCATATTTTCCACAAGGGTCCAAATCCCCAAGTACCTGCTGGTTTCACTGGCATGTGCAAGGTTCGGTGAGCAAATGCATTCATCTGAGACTAGTGTTAGTTGTTGTTCACATGTTGGCTAGTGAATGACAGCATTTGAGTGGAAAGTTGAACATTCATTGTGTCCTTTCTTTGGTCCAGTCTAGAGTATGAAAAGTTATGCTTTAGCCTTCAGGGTGGGGCTTGCTTATTCGTTCCCATTTATCAAAAAGTCAGGAGACCGTGGAGACATACACAAGGCCAAGGAGCTTGCCGCAAGTTCATCCGGTAAATCCTCTCTGGGACACACAGATCCTGAGGGAGGGCTGCCCTGCCAGACCACTTCCTGTGTTACATCCTGAGGCCTTCACAGTTTTGGCCTCTCTCTAGCAGGCCCTTCCCTTTACAGCTGGTCTGCCTGACAGTTTTCAAACTAAAATAATTCATGTCTCAGACATCTTATTACCACTTGTTTTGAGTTGAACACTGCCCCTTTCTTCCAAATGGATGCCTCTACCCTAAACACCTGAATGTCAGTCACCATTTGGATAGATACAGTGTCTTTGCTGATGGAGTCAGACTGGGAATCTCAAGTGGAAATGATCGAGAATTTAGATCTGCTACATCAGATGACTGCAGTCCTCCTAAGAGAAAAGGGACGGTTTGAGCATAGAGACATGGAGGAGCTAGAGCTACAGAGGCTACAGAGAAGAATATGCTGCAAATACAGACACAGGCTCTGCTCAGATGTACGTATCGTATCATTCCGGTAGCATCACAGCCTGTGTGAAGAGCTAGCACAGATGTGTACACAGAGTCTTTTAGACTTCTGGTCTCTAGGACTGTGAATGAACACTTTTGCCTCTTTGAGCAACTGTGGCATCTCCGTGGGTCATGTCTTAAGGCACCTCAAAGAAATGAAAGCATCACAAGACCACTTCCTCCATACAGAATAAAGAGGAGCCCTCGGGGGCTTTTCAACACACTTAGGAATCAGGGATCCCATACAGAGCCAAACGTGTAGGTTGCACTCCACATGAGAAAACCTGGCGTGAACTACAAGCCACACAAGGACAACACCAGCCGTGGCTGCCCAGCATCCAGTCTTGCTCTGGATCTGAGATCACCTAGTATCAAGAGCAACGCTGACTTAAAACATATCACTCCTCCCCATAGCACACCTCCATGCGACTACGGAGCAACATGTTCTTTTCCATTAAAATAAAGGAAATATTTTGGGAAAAAATATCACAAAAGTCTTTCCTATTTCTTCCAAGAAATATCTATTTCAGACATTGGCTTTCCTATTCTTAGTTACTGCTGATCTATCTGGTCCAGTTGTAAATCCACTGCACAGTGAATGTCATCTAAAACATCCAATACTCCACATCTCCCCACAACCCAAGGAATCATCAACTCATTAAAATGTGCAACCAGGTCCATTCGTGCCCTTCTGAGTATTTTCTCCTGGATGAAACACAGAGAAACTTCCTAACTGCTTAGGAAGAAGAACTATGCCTTATTAGGAATGATGTTTTTAAATCCAAGGTAGTGTTCTCAGCGCGGTGCCCACTCCCCACGTGCGGCTGTGCCTGAAGGAAACTCCAGGTGTGAGTACCCGGGCTTTTCATATTCTCCTCCCTTGAAAGTTCTCGGCTGGGACACAGCCGTCATTCACAGAGGCCACGCCCTCAATGGGCCAAATGAACCACCAATCTCTGTCCTCCGCATGCTCTCTCAACTGCCATAGGCCTTTCTACAAGTCAGTTCAGTAAAGGAAAACATGCCAGACACACTGTTTATGTGCTTTTCACATCCTACGACTTCCTATGAAATATGTTTCCCCTTCCACAACACAAACAAGCAGCACCAGGGAGGAGCCATTCCGTCCTTGGCTCTCTCCTCCCCTTTCTTCACAGTCCTCAGTCAACAGATCATTAGCTGCTGTCTTGTGCAGTCTCTGCAGCTCTCCTTTTTGTAGGTGTGGTGTGTGTTATGTGTGTATGTGTGTGTATGTGTGTGTTTGTGGTGTGTACATGTATGTGTAGTGTGTATATGTGTACTGTATTTGTAGTCTGCATGTGTCTGTGAATGTATGTGTGCTGTGTTAGTAGTGTGTGAATAGTATGTGTGTTCATAGTGTGCACGTATGTGTATGTGTGTGGGCAGGTGTGATTGTATGTGAGAGAGAGTGAGAAGGGGGTCAACCTCAGATGATGCCTCCCTCAATGATTTCCCCAGCTTATGTTTTGAGACATGGTTCCTCACTGAACCAGGAGTTTACTGATGGCTGGAGCCGCTGGCCAGTGAACTGTAGAGACTGTCTTCTCTGAGTGTTGGTTACAGGTGTCCAGCCTTAGCTCTTCATTATTTACCCAACATATTTGCCATTTTTTTACTTAAATCTTTCCTTGTGTAGAATGTCCAGCACAGTGCCGATACTCTTACACATCCAAAGCAAGCCCTTCGACCCTTCTGTACATTCACACTTACAATCTCTAATGCAGGAACACCAAATCCTGCACTTTTCCTGGTTTGGTTTTGTTTTTTTCCATTATAAATTTGAGGACAATGTAGATTAGCCTCATTGCAGTTTCTATATATACCCAAGGTTAAGCACTAACAGTTCCATCTCTCAGCTCTTTTCCTTCAATCCTTTATAGATTTTTCTTAAGTCACCAGCCTGATTTCTATTCCTTTAATTCCTAGACAGTTGATAGAGATATGATGATGATGATGATGATGATGATGATGAAGATAGATAGATAGATAGATAGATAGATGATACACAGATGAAGATAGAGAGATAGATAGATAGATACCCAAATTGATAGATAGATATATGATAGACAGATGAAGATAGATAGATAGATAGATAGATAGATAGATAGATAGATAGATAGATATCTCTAAATAGGGACTTATATAACCTAAACTAGTCTCAAACTCCCCTCAGGCTCAACATGGATCTGGGATCCTTCTGATGCTGCCTCTTGAATGCTTGTATCATATATATGAGAGCTGGGACCTACATGTACCTTGTTAGTCTTAGAAGAAGCATGCTGCTTTCTCAGCTTCTCCATCACTTCCTCTCCATCACTTTTGAGTTCTTGCTTGTCATTGTTTTGTTTCTCTCTACTCCTTGAACTTTCTTAGTTTATTTGTTTAAATATTTTTAAATATCCATTTCCCTCAGCCATGGTTAGTACTTATTATGACCTGGACAAGATCTGGAGTCACCTAAGAGACAAGTCTCAAACCCATCTCCCAGGGCTTATTTTGAATATGTTAGTGTCTAGGCATACTTGTGCGAGGAATTAATCTTGATGGAGGTATGTATGATTGAGAACTTTAGGACTGATGATCCATTCTAAAAGCAGATGGCATCATTCCCTGGACTTGGGTCCTAGGTGGCACGAAAAGGGGGAATAAAAAGAGGAAGCTAGCTGACCACAGCATTCCTCTTCATTCTTCCTGACTGCAATGCTCTCTCAAGCTCTTCCCACCACGATTTTTCTCTTGGCAGAATGTGCCCTCAAAATGTGAGCTGAAATAACCCTGTTGTTCATTATTTTTGCTTCCTGTAGAGTATTTTGCCACAACAACATGACCAGCAACTAGCACGGCAGGCCCATCCCTGTCTTGACTTTACATGTATTGAAGCCTTGACTGTACTCGCTAAGTATGCTTGTTCCCTCAGAGCTTTAAGCTACAGCTGCAGTGTGACTGCTGTACTGAATCCATTTCCCAAAGCTTTCTTGGTCGCCTTGCTTCCAGCTCCTCAGTCCAATGGCTCCATTTCCCCCACTTATGGCACCTATCAGCTGTTTCTCCCACCTCAAGACAGCTGTCTGCTTTCATGACATCCCAAATCCCTGGTCTTCCTACTCCTGTGACTATCTCTGGGGGCAGGTTTTCTTCCTAGGACTTCTCTTCAGATGAGATGAATGACCCCTACACTTTATTTCCATCACCAATCTAACAATTCCCTCACCAGAACACTTTGAACAGGCTCTTAGAACTCTTTCCTAAGTTTTCCCAAGAAGTGCACCGGGTCCAAGCGTCCTCCATCTTTTCCGTCTGCTCTCTCTGTTTCTTGCTCTGGTCTACCGAAACAGCATTCTAATGAGTCTCTCCTCACAGTCTCTTTTAATACCCCACATATTTCTCTTAAACATATGTTTATTTTGTCTAAGATAACTCATTAGGTGTATGACCATGTCACTCCCATATTAAAAAAAAAAAAAAAAACAACCTTATTTTAAAGAGATTTTCAAATGCTAGCCTATCTTTTATGTCTCGTCAAGCATGGTCTGAACTTAAAGACTGGTTAAGGAGATCATGTATGACTTTGGCCCACATGGCTTTTAGTTGTGAAGTAGCCTTTATTCCTTTGCATTAAGCCTAGGTGCTACCTGTGAACCTTTATCTGATCTCTCCAGATTCAGTCTCTTGCTCAAATACAAATCTACAGCTATATCTCAGGGCCCTAGGCCAGCCACTGTTCCTGTCGTTATCCTTTCTTACACCTCCCAGCCAGGCTAAGAGATAGAACCCACACTTCTTTAAGCGTCACTAAACATTCTACATTTATTTATAAAGGATAGTCTTTTCATTTGGAATTAAAATTAATGTTGCTTGTGAGAATACCTGCTGAACCAACTTGTGTCTTGTCTTTCAGCTTTACCAGTGGTTCCCAACCTGTATGTCGCTACCCTTTCATAGGGGCTGCATATCAGGTATTTACATAATGATTCATAGCAGTGGCAAAATTACAGCTGTGAAGTAGCAATAAGAATAATTTTATGGTTGTAGGTCATCAGAGCATGAGGAACTGTATTAAAGGGTCACAGCATTAGGAAGGTTGTAGACTGCTGTTATAGATAAAGATTATGATTATCACAATTGAAACAATTCACCTAATTGAATAGGACCCTGGATTTTCAAGAGGAACTTTGAAGATTTCTAACCGCTAGTGTGCACCGTGCATGTGCAAACAAGCAATTAAGACAACCAACTTTATTTTCGGTTAATTCTGACCGGACTGGAAGGTGCTTCCTGGCTATCCTGGCCAGCATGAGCTTAAGTCTTGACACAGAGCTGCATTCCTCCTACTGCTGCTGTGAGGAGCTGGGCATCTTTTGTAAGCCTTGTTCCAGAACCTCCTCTTCTGCTCTACCCATCCACCGTGATAGGTGGATGGCAGAAAACCCGACGCCACAATGATCAATAGCCTTTCACAAGACACAAATACCCACAGTGTCTCCTGACTACCTTCCTGCCTCACTCAAGATGAACAAATGTTTTAAGATCCTCCTCCTTGTTTTCACGTGGTAGGGTGTGCATGAGACAGAGAAGCAGCCAAGGATCACATTTCTATCTTAAAATGGTTAACTTGTCACCAGCTACTGAAAGATCCTACACCATGGTAATTGTTTAACTACTTTCTTTCTGGATAGATCAGACTTCTGACGTCAACCTAGTTTTGTCCTTCTGAACTTGCTCTTTGTGTTTGAAAACTGACATGGAGTTTTGAAGCTATTATGCAGATAAGGGAGTCAAAAGTTAAGTGGAGTTTAAGTCTATTGCATTTTTATCTATTGGCTTACAACTCTGAACATATTTTTGCAAGCAAGGTCCCCATAGATATATTTTTTAGGAATTGGAGTCAGTGAACTCACTCATTAAAGAATTGGTTAATTCACTTCCTGCTTTGGTTTTCCTCTCGTCGGTTAGCTGTTAACATCTCCTTAAAGGAGCCAAACCATTCCCTTGAGTTACGGTTGCATGTTATACAGGCTGCAACAGAAAGTCACAGCATCAAAATGTAATTAAAAAAAGCATTCCCAAATAGAAGCTGTAAATTTAAGCCAATATAAACTTGTCTCAGTGCTCCATCTCGATCTCACTCCAGGGCGTGGTGCTACACAGCTGGAGAGCTGAGCTAATCAGCGTTGAAAAGTGAAGATGCCTCTTCACCACATCACTGGCAAAAGGGTCCTGTTAACTCACCCCATCCTTACAAACAAACAGCAGGACTTACATGCTGTGAGGAGGAGGCTCCATGGGAGTAGACTTAGGAGGCACAGAGAGCTGCAGCTTTTCATCTCGTGGACTGGTGTCAGCAATCAGAAGCCATGGCCTTTATAAAGTGAAAACACTTTTGGCTGC